GTTCCGGTAACCCCCCGATACTCCGGTAAAATCCCGATTTTACCCGGAACGTTTCCAATATCCAAATATAGGCTTCCAATATATCAATCTTTATGTCTCGACCATTTCGAGACTCCTCGTCTTGTCCGTGATCACATCCGGGACTCCGAACAACCTTCGGTACATCAAAACACAAAAACCCTAATTACGATCGTCACCGAATTTTAAGCGTGCGGACCCTACGGGTTTGAGAACTATGTAGACATGACCGAGACACGTCTCCGGTCAATAACCAATAGCGGAACCTGGATGCTCATATTGGCTCCTACATATTCTACGAAGATCTTTATCGGTCAGATCGCATAACAACATACGTTGTTCTCTTTGTCATCGGTATGTTACTTGCCCGAGATTCGATCGTCGGTATCTCATTACCTAGTTCAATCTCGTTACCGGCAAGTCTCTTTACTCGTTCCGTAATACATCATCCTGCAACTAACTCATTAGTTGCAATGCTTGCAAGGCTTAAGTGATGTGCATTACCGAGAGGGCCCAGAGATACCTCTCCGACAATCGGAGTGACAAATCCTAATCTTGAAATACGCCAACCCAACAAGTACCTTCGGAGACACCTGTAGAGCACCTTTATAATCACCCAGTTACGTTGTGACGTTTGGTGGCACACAAAGTGTTCCTCCGGTAAACGGGAGTTGCATAATCTCATAGTCATAGGAACATGTATAAGTCATGAAGAAAGCAATAGCAAAAAACTAAACGATCAAGTGCTATGCTAACGGAATGGGTCAAGTCAATCACATCATTCTCCTAATGATGTGATCCCGTTAATCAAATGACAACTCATGTCTATGGTTAGGAAACATAACCATCTTTGATCAATGAGCTAGTCAAGTAGAGGCATACTAGTGACACTCTGTTTGTCTATGTATTCACACATGTATTATGTTTCAGGTTAATACAATTCTAGCATGAATAATAAACATTTATCATGATATAAGGAAATAAATAATAGCTTTATTATTGCCTCTAGGGCATATTTCCTTCAGCTTAATGCCGGAAATGCCCTCTATGGAGCCAGCCACTAGCGCCCTAGCTTTATGTCGGACTGCTTCCGAGGTGGTGCACCACCCCGACCGCGGGCCGATTTTTTGTCAATATTTTTGATTGGTGCAATTTATTCTCTGCCGAGATATATAGCCAGTAGTCCTCAAGGTGTGTGTCGGTCTAAAACCCGAGATGCACCTGAAGGATGACATAAGACCACTGATCCCAGTAACCGCTGAGACTCAGGTTGATTTGCAAAATCGGCCTGAGGATCAAGTCCTAGCTCGGCAGAATACTTCGGGACACAAAAAGCGGCATGCTCAGTCCTCGAGACTCAGGTTGGGTGCGGCCGACCAACCTGAGGATCAAAATCTCCTCGGAAACTGTATTGCACTTAAAATTTTATGCATTTGACAGGCAATGCAGTAGCCACTGAGATATTGGTCGGGTGGCAACACCAGATCAGGGGATCGATGTGCCCCTTTAATATTTGTAAATAATAAGCCCGAAGCCCAGTAGCCCCCGAGTCTTAATGCGGGCACGGGTGGCCGAATTAAGGATCGATATCCATAGCAAAATCACAAATTATGTGTAATGACTCTATGTATCCAAGTATTTTACGTCATTAATGCTCGGATCTGCATTGTACAAAACTTTGTTGACCGACCATCGGCTTCCACCTCCTCGGCCAGTAGCCGAGGAGTGTTTGTCCTACTTTATAAAGCCTTTATGAGGGCAAAGATTTACGACAAACAAAGCAATCTGGCCATACGGTTTTATAAACAAAGGTACGCATAGAGATATATTATATTACTGTTTAACATAAGAAATGTCTTTCAAAGAAAATAGTCTCGCTATCGGTTCCTTTCTTTGGGTTGTCATGCTAAGCATGATCATGAAACCTCAACTCTAATGTAAGAGCAAAATATTGAGAATTTAGTTTGGGAGGCCAGTTACTAGCCCCCGGTAGTGTTCAGCGACAGTCGAGGTCAAGCCGTAAACACTTCGGCCAATGTTATGAATGGCCCATCATTTAACACAGTCATCGGATCGCTGACCAGTTTACGCTTATTTGTGACAGTCAGTTTTTGGCTTTCTCCACTGAGGTGCTTAACCATGTGAGCTGGAAGCACAATCGCAGTGGTTCTACCTTTGCACACCTAGCCGAACAAAGCAGAATATAGGAGGCAAGCGCAGGAGCCGGTCAACCCAACTATTGACCAAAGACACAATCTGAAACCAATGCATATATAGCAATATTCAAGAATGTTTTTGCCGAATATCTAAAGGTGTCCGGCGTTGCACTGCGAGACTTGTGCTGAAAACATACAAATAGTTTAAAAGTGCCAAAAGCTTTGAAAACAAAAAACGTCAGTAAAAACATGACGTCCGAACAAGATTAAGTGTTCGGTGTCAATCCGAAAATTGGAAGAGAAAAAAATTGTGCTTCTGTCGTGTTTTGACAACGACCAAGAAGAAAACACATTTACAGCTCATATATAAATTTTAAGAGCCCCCAAGTAGTTGAGCTCGGATCAAAAGGCGACGACCTGTCTAGTGCAAGTCGGTAGCCGTGGAGCAGTATTGCCGGACTGGTTTGACACCAGTATGATATTGAAGATTACTCAGAGGAAGCTTAAAAATTTATGGGCACGTGTTTAAAAACAACGTACAATACCCTTTGAGAAAATTCCTTTAAGAAGGTTGTCCCATATCACGTTCATAAAGAAACATGGATTCGGGTCGGATCCGTATTCGCGCAGAAAACATACCCGAAAAGTGATGCACTAATCGAAAGATTTCCGGAGTTTGGACGGTCGGATCGAGCTGAAATTTTGAGGGGTGTTATATATAGGAATTCCGCAGCAGATCAACGGTTGGATCTTCCAAAGGACATCCGAGCTAGGTGCTGGAGACCACGCCCTAAACTCGTCCAGATTCCCATCCAGATTTGACAGGGCTTTGGTATATCGTAGATTGCCGGAGATTCCTCCATCGGAACTCGACGAAATTTGGCATGGTTGTTGTAGACTCAATTCTGCACAATTCCACCAAAGAGATCGTCAAAGCGATGCTCTAAGAGGTGGTGGCAGCGGATACAAGTTGGCTTAAACAGCACGGTCGTCCGAGGGCAATGTTGACGTTGAGCCCCCGAGCTCCATGGATGATTCCTCCATGATATTGATAGAGATCGGAGTTGATGTTGATGAAGGCCCTCGTCCGAACATGACGATCAGAGATGGAGCACGGTCCTCAGTTGAGCCAAGGTGACCAGTCGAGCTGGCAACGAAGATGCCGGCATCGCAATTGACCTGCAGACGAGCCATCGATCCTTTTGCCGATCACACAACGGAACTCTCAATGAAAGCACCAATGTCGGTGTCAAAACTGGCAGATCTCGGGTAGGGGGTCCCGAACTGTGCGTCTATATAAGGCGGATGGTAACAGGACGCAGGGGACACGATGTTTACCCAGGTTCGGGCCCTCTTGATGGAGGTAATACCCTACGTCCTGCTTGATTGTTCTTGATGATATGAGTATTATAAGAGTTGATCTACCACGAGATCGTAGAGGCTAAACCCTAAAAACTAGCCTATGGTATGATTGTCTGTATATCTATCGACTAGCCTGGCCCTGGTTTATATAATGCACCAGAGGCCTAGGATAACAAGAGTCCTAGCCGAATACGCCGGTGGGGGAGGAGTCCTTGTCTTGACCACCAAGTCTTGTGGAATCTTCCTTGTATGCGGCACCTGTCCGAACTGGCCCATGAGTATACGGCCATGGGGGTCCTCGGCCCAATCTAACTGACCGGGAGACGACGTGGTGAGTACCCCCTGGTCCAGGACACCGTCAGTTGAATAGAAATCCTTTTTGATTTCTTTTTCATGTAGAACCAAAAGCTTGAATGATGGAAAAGGTTAGCTAGTCTGACATATACTTTAGCAAGACGTTCCAGATGATGCATTTCGTTTTGATAGGCCGCACAAAAATAGCACTAGAGATTCCGAATGGGTGAAAACCGCCCAAAATGCTGCATGGAGGCCGAGCTCCCTGGACGCGGAATTTGAAAAACTGGAAATTCATATTTTTGTGTTTTAAAAAGATTTGAAAATAAAATTAAACATACATCCAGAAACATATTGTACATGTATGTAAATTTTCATGATGAAATACGTTGAAAATGAGAGCTACACAAAGAAAAACAAACCTGTGGCTTTTCAGCACTTGCACCTTTCATTCTCAAAGTTCACATTTTTTTGCAGCTTGCAATTTAAGTTATTTCGTCATGAAATTTTACATGCATATACATTACATCCCTGTATACCTATATATTCATTTTCATAACTTTTTGAAACTGGAAAGTTTCAGTTTTGATTTTTTTTCAAAAAAAGAAAAGAAAATTGGCGTCCATGGAGCTCGGCCTTCAGAACGCCCTACTCGAAAACCGCACCCCTTTACTCGCACAAAAGGAACTCAAAACAGACACAGCTCAAGCCATGCAATTTACAGAAGTTTATAGTGTTACATCGACCAATAATGGTTTGCTTGTGCCAGATACTCTGCTCCCATTGCGACGGAAGTCAAGCTTATTTACATCTGCTCGTCTCACAAAACCTTCAAAGAAACCACTACTTCTATTTCAGGATACACTCGCATCTGCACACCAAGGGCATGAACAACAGAGTGGCGCAACGCCGGGTAAACACGTCTTGCCACCAGCCTACGCGTCGTCGAGAGCAAGGACGCCTGGGAGGGTCTTGCCTTCCAACAGCTCCAGGCTTGCGCCACCCCCGGTTGAAATGTGGCTCATCTTACTCACCAACCCTGCCTTCTCGACGGCAGCAACAGAGTCGCCACCGCCGATGATGGTTGTCACGCCTTTTGCTGTGATATCAGCCAACTTCTTCGCGATCGCCTGAAGAAAGAATGCATGTTTTAGCAGGAGAAGTGCAGAACACAAACACGTATGTGCACTGTATAAAGTACATGTGCTGGATATGAGTACTCACATCAGTGCCAGCTGCGAACTTCTCAAATTCAAAAACTCCCATCGGCCCATTCCAGATGACAGTCTTGGTAGTGTCCAAAGTTTCACTGAATTTCTTGATAGAATCCGGGCCGACGTCAAGACCCATCCAACCATCAGGAATAGCAGAGGCAGGAACAATCTGTAAATGGTGTCAGGATGAGTACATGATAGCTAGCAAATATCTCCATTCCAAACCATGAACAATTGTGTTGAGTTTGTATCCATGTACAATGCAGCATGACATACATTATATAGATTTTGAGAGATGAAAACGCAACACCCCCCGCGTCGCCCCCGCTCGGGCGACTCGGGCGGGACGCAACCCTAGCCGCCGGGGCTCCCCGTCCTTCTTCCCCTCCCTCCACCGCCGCTGGAGGACGCCGCCGGCCTATAGCCCGGGGGCTGATGGCGGTGGCGGGGGCCTTCCCTCTCTCCTGCGCCATGGGGGCGGTGCGGAGCCCCGCGGTGTGTGGAGGCACGGCCTGATCTGACCTTGGTGGCGCGGCGGCCGCCTCGGTCTAGGGCGGATGGGGGCGGGTGCGGCGGCTGGCCTTGCTTCGGGCAGCGGCCTTGGCTGCGTTTGGATCATCCTACCTCGGTCTGGCGGTGGCGGCATGGAGGGTCTGGTGGTTGGGTCGGCGCCATGTGTGGTTTGCCCTCTGGACAGATCTGATCTGACCGGTGCGACCTGCTCAATGTGCGGTGGCTCAGATCGGCGGCGACCCATGCACACGATGCTTGATGGAGGTTCCTTGAGCGGATCCGGGTGAAAACCTAGTTCTCGGCTTGATGCCAAGACCGGTGTTGGCGGCACTCTTTTGTGCCATTACCTTCTTGAAGGCATCGCCGTGGAGAAGCTCCAGATCTCTATGCGCTACCTCCGGGGGAAACCCTAGATCAGTAGATCAGATGACGGCGGCGCGTTGGTGTCGTTTCCTCCTTGGGGGCGTCATTCTTGGAGGCGTACACGGGTTCGAAGGACCAGTGGGCGGCTTTTTTGATGGAGCGGTGCTTCATCCTGCACATTGATGACGGCGGATCTCGGCGGCGTGGTGCAGTGGAGACTCGGCGCCCGATGCACGGTGCTGGACTCGCGCAGGAGGGGGTTGCTGTCTGGCGTCATGGTGGCGTCGATGGCAGAGTGGCCTGACAAGGTAGAAACCTCAATATCTGCTCTGAAGACGGACCAGTGGAAGATGGCTGCGACGACACATGTGAGTGCGTCTGACCAGTTCATGCCCCAGACCCGGTATGTGGCTCGGTTGGGGTTTCTGGCTTTTGATGATAGGCTTAGGTGAGTGGACTGGGTATTTGGCCCAGCTAGCGCCGCTTCATCATATGAATAGGAGTAGTGGCATTTGATGCCAAGATGGCGGATTCAGGCATATTGTTGTAATACTTTGTAAGGTCCTCGAGAATAATCAATAAAATGGCCACATGCATCTCCCAGATGCAGAGGCCGGGGGCCATCCTTCTTTTCTAAAAAAAATATAGATAATGCCAGACATGTACGACAGAATTACAGAACCATGCATGTCTTGCTCTGCCAGTTATGATCTACATCTCTGCCAACATAAATTCCACAGTAAGTTCTTGTGAAAGTGAATTAGGATGACTTGTATTGCATCAGTTGGTGCCTCCAGCAGATGTAGTTTCTTCTATTTTCTTGTACCCGACTTGTATGAATGGTTGTGAGGCTGCTTGCTTTATATATAAAGCGGGGCAAAAGCTTTTTTTTCGGTATAATAATACTTGCAATGAATAGAAAATCTAATACACAGCCACTACTATTGAATGATCATACCTTGCTCTCAGCATCTGCAGCAAAATTATCAGCCACCACAATATCAGTGGGAAGCAAAAGAGAGACTCCCTTCGACTTGGCCTTCTCAATAAGCAAGTTTGCCAGTTCAAGCTTGTCTTCCTCCACAAGAGATTTTCCAACAGCATGCCCCTGTGCCTTGTAAAATGTGTAAATCATACCGCCACCAAGGATGAGGATGTCAACCTTCGCCAAAAGAGACTCGATCACCCCAATCTTGGTTGACACTTTGGATCCACCAACAATTGCAGCAAATGGCTTTTTCGGGTTGGCAACTGCTCCAATAAGATAGTCAAGTTCCTACAATGAACATAATCATTATCTAGGACACTTAGTTCAAGAATGGCATCAATTGTTGTAATACTGTAAATAGTAGCAGTGGAGCATTTTCAGTAATTCATGGACCAATGCAACTTGGGCAACACCTTCTGCATAAGAAAGCCAGCGACAGCAGGCCTCAAATACTTGGTAACTCCCTCTGTTGAAGCATGTGCTCTATGTGCAGTGCCAAAGGCATCATTTACATACAGATCAGCAACGGATGCTAGTTTCTTGGCGAACTCAGGGTCATTCTTCTCTTCCTCCTTGTAGAATCTCACATTCTCTAGAAGTAGGACACCTCCATCTGGTAAAGCAGCAGCTAATTTCTCAACTTCCTCACCGATGCAGTCATTGGCCATCACAACCTTTTTAAAGCACATGATGAACAAATCAAGAAAATATAAGATCAGCCAAGGTTTTATAATATGTAAAGAAAACATGAGTTACGTTCTTATAACGTACATCGACTCCAAGAAGCTCAGACAGGCGGGGAACAAGAGGCTTCAAGCTGTACTTCGGGGTGACCCCTTTTGGACGGCCCTGTAAAGACAACAACGTTAGTATTAGAAATGTTAGTTTTTGCTATACTTTTATGTTCTGAAAAAAGATGTTGTTCCGGGTTGGTTTTTAGTGCTCAAATTCACAATATGTGAAAAAACCAGTTAAGTGGCATGAAGATGAGCTCTGAGCATTTCTCATCATACAGCTCCGCGCCATCTCATATTTCCATTCATCAATTAGTTAGTAACACATCATCGATAAGATTAGAAAAAAAATAGTAAGTAAATAAGCAGGGTTTAACACTAAAATGTGGAAGCCTAATCGCATATTGGAAAGTCTATGAAGAGTTAATTAGCTCACACTCAAACACATATACCACCTGGATAAAAAAGGAGGCACTTGAACAAATTGTTTGACATATTACTATAAATGACTAATCGACATATACAAAAGCAATTCACATGAACTGGACAGAGGACTCTGTTTTGTGTGTAAGGTACCGAACAATTCAAGAAAATGAAATTCTAAGTTAATTCTCACTATTTTTGTTATGATAAGGTTTACTATAAGGACGAGACTAACAGGCTACGGCACATAGAGTTCTTAGCTGAAAGAATTTTCTTCTTTTCTTCGTTATCCCACCCCACCCACCCACTCCCAAGAGATTAGTGGACTAACAGAAGACTTGAGTCTGACACTGAATCCCCCGATCTGACACCCTCAGCTCAGGCCGCACAAACTCGTCAGTAAAAGGCCGCAGGCACGGATCGAGGAGGGTGTGCTCTGCTTTGCTCACCAGATGGCTGGCCAGGACGACCCTGGCGTCCTTCCCCATGAGGAACTTGATGGTGGGCACGGAGGCGCGGATGCGGTTGTCGTCGGCGATCCTCTGGCCGTCGTCCAGCGGCACGTTGAGGTCGGCGCGGAGGAGCACCTTCTTCCCGCTGAGGTCCTTGTCGCCCAGGGTGCCCACGCTCCTCTTGGTCGGCATTTCCTCCCTCCCTGGCCCCTGCACCAAATCCGACGCCGTGAACATCAGAATAATCCGCAGAGGAATTACCATGGCGTCGATGGGCTCGGATGACGGGAGATTTACCGGGCCGGAGATCGGTCGGGCTGGCGGTGATTTCAGTCGCGGGTTGGAGTGGAGTTGAGGAAAGGTAGCGGCGCTGTGATTGACTAATTGTAGACGATCGAGGAAAGGCACGCGAAGGTGTTGAGCTTTCTGCCTTTCTCTTCTCTTTTGGCGCTGTGCCGGGCAGGCTCGCTCGCTTCCCCAGCGCTCAAGGCGCGAGCGCTATATCTCGCGTCATGCGAGACCGATAGTTCTCTCTCTGGCCGTCGTTACTGGTCCGGCCCGTAATCGTGCTCTTGAATAAATAAACCCAAATGATAATGCTCATACTCGAATGCCATCGTCATTGGATCGACGTTGCTGTTGAAAAATCTCATCGTTCATGTGGTATCATGAGATGGTTGGTGTGGATATGGTCATTACTGTAGTTTGCTGATCACTTTTTCGATCACTTTAGGGCTTTTCTTTTTTTTCCTCGTCTACAAATAGCTTTGGTCTTATATGACTGACTTTACTAGTTGGCGTGTTTTCGTGTGTGAGTTAGTACTGGCTGTGTGCATCCTAATTATGCAGAGGTGGAGTGCATGTTCATTGTGTTATGTATCTTCTTGATGCTTCATTTTAAGTTAATAAAATCCACCATTTGCGGAAAAAAATGATAACACTCACACGTGAGACAAGTTTTCACTTCGCCCACACACGTTGATTCTATCTTGCATGAATTCTAAAGGAATCTGTTAGATTTTCAATGCCACGTTGGCATCATCGTGCGTGTGGGCGTTGGAATGTTCGCCCACACGACCCGCAACACGCGGTTGCTAGCTGCGTCGTATAGCGAACCAGTTTCTGCCAACACATTCACCACCTACTCCACGTGTGTGTGGGCTAACTGCTCTTCGCCCACACAACGTTCGTACATTGTTTGATGGCAACTGCAATTGTGCGTACGTGACAACTAGGTAAACACACATGGTGACTATCGTTTGTTGACAGATGGCAATTGCAGTTGCGCGTAAGTGGCAACCAGGTAAACACACATGCTAATTATGATTAATCATACATGGCAATTATGATTGGACCACACGTGGCAACTACGTAATACACATGACAATTATTGTTTGATCACATGTCGCAAGTTGTTAATCACACACGGCAACTATGGTTTGATTACACGCGAAAACTACCATTAATTAGACATGACAACTATAGTTAACCAAAATAGAGAGAGTTGCCATGTTTTTACAACTATATTTGTCATCCCGGATAACTAAAGTTGCCATTCCCGGGGCAACTAAAGCGTCATCCCGCGGGTAACTAACATAGCTATGCCAGGACGTATGGGCATATTTTCTTCGTTCTACACGCGCGGGGTGCGGATGAGTAGTATTTGTTAGGAGTGTGACACGAAGTATGTGCGCCTACACGTGTGGGCAGTTCTAATGTTCACCCACACATGACTGATATGGGTTGCCTTCTACTTACATCATACATAGTGTGTGGGCGGATATTGCTCCCACCATATGTGTGGGCGTTATCAGCGTCCTAAACAAATGACATGAACAACAAAGGAGCGTGTGGGATTAGATGCGTCGATCTCCTGGTTCCTTCGCTGCGCTTCCAGCCAGTAATCCATCGCTCTTTTCATGTTTCAACCGAAGGTCGCCGACTACTTGAAGTAAATAAACCGGATTTTCAGGTTTTGGTGCATTTTCTTTATTTCACTGTTTTTTCTTCCTTTCTTTCTTCGTTTCATAGGTTTTTTTCCTTTTCCTTCTTTCTTGGTTTTAATCTATTTTCTTCAGTTTTATTTTTCATTTTCTTCTCCATTTCTTCAATCTTTTTTCATTTGTTTCTTCAATTTTATTTTCCATTTTCCATTTTTGGATTTATTTTGTTTCTTTTTCGGTTTTCATTTTTTGGTTATCTTTGTTTATTTTGTTTTTCATTTCTATATGTTTGGTATATGTCAACAACAAAAATTTGATATACATTTAACATTTTTCCAATACAAACTTCACTTTTTTAATACATTCTCAACATTTTATACATATTTTAAACAATTTTTAAATGCTTGATTAAAATTTTTCTAAATGCAATATTAACAGTTTTTGAAAACGTGGTTAACATTTTCTCTATACACATTTTTCATTTTTCCAAATGATTGATCAACATCTTACAAATAATTGTTCAACATGTTCTTCAAATGCTTGATTAACATTTTTATATACATGATAAAAAGTCGCTAATTTTGGAAGATCGACTTTAGTTAGTTCTGATTACATCACCAGTCAACTCAATTTTGGAACTACAGTTTACATGTGTATTTTGCTGTTGGGGGATTATGTCCAAGGTTTCATTTTTCTCCATCTCCACTACTAATAAACAATCAAACATGATTTTCTTTAAACGCACCCCACAAAAAGTACACAGATCAATTACCACCGTATGATTAGGTCCACCTAACTTAATCTAACAGCTGGCCTTAACTTGGTCTATTTCATATGTGCACTTAATAATTTACATTGACTGACCATTCTTCACCGGGTTTCGCAAAAAAAAAAAGACCATTCTCCAGCGGAGAGAAAAATATGGAATTCCACAACCTGTAACACCCTACAATCACGCAACCCGAAAACAGAAACCTAATCTATACTACCTACTAATAAAAGAAATAGGCATTCTTAGTCCATTTTATTATTTTATAGAAACCCCCCTAATATTTCTGAAATTAAACCCGCAGTACATATTAAATGTTTTTTTAAAATACTCATATATTCTAAACCATAACTTCAAATTTAACATGTTATATATGGAATTTGATTAGAAAAATATGTAGAATCTGAATATGATGTTATTTTACCTGTTAACAATTAAAAATACTATTTAGGCTGCAATGTTAATCAACAACACATTATCTGTCTTTTTTGCATACCGGTACTGATTCAGATTAGGAATGAACACCTTAGCAAAATTAGAATTGGTCATGAAGTTGAAGATAAGTTTGCTAGAGACACCCAATAAATAAGGACATGTATGACAAAAAATAAAAAAGGACCCAATAAAGATGGGATATCCGCTATAAAAGAAATAAAAGAGAAAAATGCAGAGGAGATCCGATAAAGATGAGATGTTGGGCTATTCTCCTATATATAAGAAGAAAAAAAGAGGACATGCATGAAAAAAAGTAAAAAAAAGCATGCATGACAAAAAATAAAATAAAAGACAAGTTTGATAAGATATAAATAGTGATGAAACTGAGACCACTGCCTATGACATGTATGGCAAGAAATAGTGATGAAATAGGGGTGTAAGTACCCGCGTCCACATGAGACCATACAAAAATTTTCTTTTCCAGACAATTTTTTTCCTCTTTTTATGATTAAAAATCATGTATCTTTTTAACAACCTTTTTAACAACTCTTCATGTATTTAAAAAATATGCATGTGAAAAAAAGTGTTAGTTACCCTAAGTTGGCGATTAAAACTGCCATTTATGCACACATGTCTCCGTTGTGTGCTCATGTGTCATCATTTGTTTTTTCGTTTTTCTTTACTCGCCCGTAACAACACCATTCTGCACATGACATGAATAAATGCATGATCACTTGCCAGTTTCTTTGTATGGATTAAATTTACATGCAAGCCGTGTTGAAATAGAACACCTGCTAATTTTAAACTGCGCTTTTATAGGTTAAGACCATCTTTATTTGGGCCGTAACTATACATTATCAGATTATAGACCATTTTTAATAAAAAATTAAAAGCGTATAGTATTTTTTTCTCCCGTTGCAATGTTGGGCTTTTTTTGCTAATCCTCCTAAAACACGGTGCACCCGCTACCTGTTCACGGACACAAGCAGCCGCCGCAGATGCCGCACGGACGAGCCGCCGCCGATCCTCCTACTCCTCACCCACCCCCAATCTTCCGGGCGCCACCCCAAGTCTCCACCTCCAACAGCGCGGGTCCTGCTGGAGGCTGCCGCCTCCAACCCCGTCTCTCGCCTCCAACAATCACTCCCTGTTGAAGGACACGAGCGCCGGTCGCCGCTGCCGCCGCACATGATGTGAGCTCGAACCACCGCTGCCGGCCGCTCCTCCTCTGATGGACGCAAGCGCAGGCCGGCGGCGGCCGCTCCTCCTCTGCTGCCACACGTACACTGCCGCCCTCCTCTGTCGTGCGCGCGTGGCCGCCGATCCATGAGCCAGAGAAGCCAGTAAATTCCCTCCCTTCGTGGTTCACGTTCACAGGTGTCTAGGGAGCTTCACGCCACGGTCTAGATGGCGCCAAGGTACTAATTAAACCGGATAGTCTGTCTTTATCGGAAACTGGCTGTATGTCCACCATGATACTCGCGTGCTGGCCGCCTCCGCACAACCGATCTGCACCCACGAAGCTGCAGCCTGCAGGTAATTAGTCTCATGGGAACCAAATAATTCTAACCGATCAAGGTCCAATTGTTAATTAGGATGGCTGCTTGCTTGCTTCTTTTGCCTACAAGTGTGCTCGCTTGCTTTTTCACAGCAGCATGTTCTCAGGGTCGGATCGTGCTTCTTCTAATTGATTAAGGTAGCTGCTTGTTGCTTTTTTTGTGCCCGCTCACTTGCATTTTTATCTTAGTATGCAAGCTTTCTGTGTACTACGTTATCAATTAAGAGGACTGAGTTCTTTGGACACAATTTAGTTACTGTGGTGAAAAGGCCATGTAAAAAGTAAATAGGCAATGGAACAGGTAAGGTAAGACAGACACACGAGTTGTATGCTGCAGAGTTTTGACATGCTTCTTCGTTTTGGAATATGAAACAGAAGAACATATACCTGACAGAACATATATAAAGCTTCAGCGTGGAATTACAAAGCAACTAATTTTTCTGTTCGATGTACTGTCAATAGCATTTTGAAGTCCATATTGACTATTCGATCAAATATGTAGGTAGGACTTCAAAGCTTTTATCACTGAAAAAAATAGCGCGCTATAGCGTCGCTAATAGCACGCTATAGCATATTGAGATTTGCCTCGCTATATGTATCGGTGTACGATGTCTCACTAATAGCACGCTATAGCGTGATATAGCACGCTAATAGCATATTTTGAGGTCGACGCTATTTTGCCGTAGCACGCTAGAGTTGGAGTTTAAAGTTTTTATTGATAGGACTTTAGATGGGGTTGAAGCAACAAAGCACTCCACCGGTGCATGACAATAGTTATTAACAAAGCATGCTTCCATGTGTCCTTTCTCACCCGACTTGCGATCTAGGGTTCCGTGTGGTCAATCACGGTCTGGCTCTGTTCGCGTCACCCAACCGACCTCTAAAACTCCCCTTAATCCCCTTTTCTTCATTTTCTTTATTGAGGGTGACTTCCTTATCACTGGTAGAAAAAGGGCCTATAGTCCCGGTTCGTAAGGGCCTTTAGTCCCGGTTCCGGAACCGGGACTAAAGTGTCGGTACTAATACCTCCCCCCTTTAGTCCCGGTTCAATTCACTAAAGGCCCTCCACGTGGGCAGTGCGCAGAGCCCAGTCAGGAGACCCTTTGGTCCCGGTTGGTGGCACCAACCG